ATATAAATATAAATATAAATATAAATATAAATATAAATATAAATATAAATATAAATATAAATATAAATAATTGATAGTTCTTTTATAAAAAAATGTCTAATCATTTTGAAAGAAAACGGTCTGTACTTTCTATACAAGGAAAAGGACAGACTGAAAAGGAGTTATGTGCCATTATGACAATGTCCAACTACACACATCTTCAATGACTCTGAACAAATTGACGGAACTTGGTATGAAAATTTTAAAGATTCCACCGTATAGCCTGGAGCATTAACATTTTGACTACCATTTAATTTGGTCTCTGCAAAACGTTTTTAATGGTAAAAATATTAGTAGACAAACTACAGAAGTTCTACACCGATGAAATTATGAAGCTACATGAAAAATGGCAAAAGGTCATAAATAATAATGGCTATATAAATTTTATTAAAATTAATTTGCAAAAAAAAAAATATTTGTTTAAAAATATATCAAAAAACAGCGAATAGTTTTTATATCACCCAATGGAATATAAATTATTTTATATTGTTTTTTATTTTTGTTTTTATTTTTCATTAATATTTTTTTTCTTTTTTCTTGGTGCAATTAGTTGGCACTTTTTAATTTTTTTTTTTTCACTTCATCGATGTTTAACTGTGTTTTATTTTAATATATCTATATTGTTGTGCTAAGTTAAGCAGTTTTTGCATGCTTGAATGATGTGAGAATATAAACTTAAAGCAACTAATTGATATAAATTAAATTAAAATTAATTTAATATTAGAATTGTTACTTAGCAGTTGTATTTTATATGAACATCAAAGTGTCTACAAGTGAATTCACATTGTAATAGTTTTAAGACTTCATTATATTATGCTTTTATTTTATATTTTATATTGTCTAATCTTAAAATCAATTTATTCATTTAATTCTCACTCAGTTTTTAACCCCTTTATACATAAGATTAGGGTTCTATTCTAACAATAAGAAGTAATCGCGTGCCAATTTTCTATCTGACTTCAATGACTCAATTCAGTACACTTCCTAAAGTGAAAATAAATGCCTACAATAACCATTATTTTAGGATTACATATATGTGGTTTTCTTAACACGATAACTTTATATATATTCAGAATGCATATCTACAATATACATTATTGAAGTTATTACTTATATCTGATTTTCTTTAGAACGATTACTTTATATATAAAGCATGCAAGGTCATGAAGATTTGATAAGACTATCGGTATCAATATATCAAAATTATGTGTCATGGAAAAAAAAAAAAAAAAAATCGGAAAGCAATTCATTCAAAAATATACATATGTTAAATTTACTACTGTGTTGTGCAAAACGTAAATACAGATTGTAAGATTGTATAAAAAAAGTTAAATAAATTGTTTATTTTTGTAGACAATATAGCAGCCCAGAGCGTATCTAACCGACTGGTATCCAAAGCAACTATTAATCGAACATTGCCTCCGGAGCAAATGGTTTGTCTTGCATGGTTTTTGCTTGCTTTGGTTTATTTATTATAATGTTATCTATCAGTTACAATATTATTTACAAACAAATAAATTAGAAAAATTAAAAAAAAAAAAACTTAACAATGAATAAACAAATCGATATGGTGGTCGTATAAAATAATATTAAATATCTGCTAGAACGATAAAATAACAAGAAAAGTTTTTTTTGTATTTTCTTTTTTTTTACATTTATCTTTGCAGAAGACTTATGAATAATGAAGAGAAATAAGTTTCTTTAAGAAACTTGCTGTGTAATGAATTTAAAGCTCGACGCGACAAACAGTAACAAAACTGAAATAGAAAATATGTTATAAACCGAGGGGAATGTTAGATATCTAAGTTCAAATTATATATATATATATATGTATATGATAAAATTGGAAAAGAAAAAGATTACATAAA